GATACTTTTGGAAGTGGAGAGGGGGACAAAGATAATATACTACTTCTTGAATCAGATTAATTTATATTTTTCTAGGAAATAACTTACGTCTATATCTTTAAGTTATTAGAATATAATAGCATGTGCTGTTCTCTTTGTTTAAAGAAATTTGCTTAGTATTTGTGGTCTTTATGATTCTTTTCTCATTCTCAGGACCATATTCATTTTCTTTCCCTTTTTTGGCCTGACTTTACAGGCTTCTTGCATTTTGCTTTCTAAGTCATGTTTTCTTGCTTATATCCTTTAATTCTTCACTCTTTTTGAGGGTTTGTGTTTGTTGTTACTTTTTTCATAGGCAGTTTTTTTTGTTTTGTTTTGTTTTGCAGTATGCGGGCCTCTCACTGTTGTGGCCTCTCCTGTTGTGGAGCACAGGCTCCGGACGCGCAGGCTCAGCGGCCATGGCTCACGGGCCCAGCCGCTCCGCGGCATGTGGGATCCTCCCGGAACGGGGCACGAACCCGTGTCCCCTGCATCAGCAGGTGGACTCGCAACCACTGCGCCACCAGGGAAGCCCTGTTGTTACTGTTTTGCTTCTCGAATTGACTACTCAATTTATTTTAAATCTTGTATAAAATGGAAGCATTTAGGGAGATGGTCTCCCAAGCTTTGGCTAATTTTATAGGTTTTTAAAATGTGTCTTTTTTATTGTTTCTTTTAATAGATGATTTCCAGTTTTGATTTTTTTTAGCCGAGTGGTTACTTTTATCAGTGCGTTGTGAGGAAGAGATCCACATCAAGTATCTCAAGTAAAAAGGGATTTAATTATAGGGACTACATGATTTCACGGGAGTACAGGGCCAGGAACTGGGGCCTCCTGTGACTTCTGCAATTGCAGTATCTTTCTAACTGGCCACATAGTTTTTCTTATGGCATCAGCTCAAACATGCCTTTGATGTATTGATTATGTACCTGATTTTTTTTTTAATCCATTCTTACTTATAAGTGAAGGTGTAGATTGTTTTAATATTATAGTTGGAATGGGCGATATTAATAATGTGATTTGTCAGTTTCCGTCAGCAGCTCTTCTCCCTTCCCCATATTATACATCATAGCAGATGGAGGATTTACAAAGCTGTATTGTTCTTTACCATGACTTTTTTTTTGATAGATCTTTATTGGAGTATAATTGCTTCACAGTATAAATGCTGTGTTACTTTCTGTTGTACACCAAAGTGAATCAGCCACATGCATACATGTCTCCATATCCCCTCCCTCTTGAGCCTCCCTCCCACCCTCCCTATCCCACCCCTCTAGGTGGTCACAAAGCATCAAGCTGATCTCCCTGTGCTATGCTGCTGCTTCCCACTAGCTAATTACTTTGCATTCAGTAGTGTATATATGTCGATGCTTCTCTCACTTCGCCCCAGCTTCCCCCTCCCACCCTGTGTCTTCAGGTCCATTCTCTGTCTACATCTTTCTTCCTGCCCTGCAACTAGGTTCATCAGTACCTTTTTTTTTTAAGATTCCATATATATGCGTTAGCTGACCCACTAGAGCTTCCCCAAATTCTGTGCTATTTTTGACAATTCTATAGCACCTTCAAGTGGCCTTCACTCCTATATGTAATGTTTCAGTTATATAAAGTCCCAGCTTTAAAATTTAATAATTTTGTGTTATTTAAATTTGACAAAGAAAAAGATTGATTTAAATTTCTAGTCTTTATTTAGCTTTTCTTTAGAAATCAGATTGCTTATGTATCTTTTTAAAAATCAGTTATGCCAACATAGTTCTCTGTAGTTCATGAATTTCCTTAAAGTTAGTCAGCAAACATTTATTGAGAAATTTCTCTGTATAGAGCACATAGCAATTGTAACTGAAGTATTAGAGGGCAGACTTTGGGAGGCAGTAGGATGAACTGGATAAAATCCACTTGAAAAAAATTAGACTAGAAATGTAGACATCAGAGATTGGTGGAAAGTAACAGTTGAAATCCATTCTTGGTAGTATTCATAGCAGGCTCACCTCAGCTGGTGGCTGCTGAAATTGGTTGAAGACAGAGTTAAAAAAAAAAAAAGGCATCACTTTAAGAAGAAGTGGGATCCAGCAAAGTTTGCCAAGAAAAACATATTCATAGAATTTGATTTAGTAATCTCCTTAGAGATTATCTTAGTAGTGAATGCTAAATAAAGGAGAGGGGTTTTTTTTGTTGTTGTTTTAAAATAGAAATGGATGACCAGAAAGATAATGTGACTTGGCCAAAGTCCTAAGTCTTGATGCCAGGACTTGACCTTCAACTAGTGATTGCTGGTGTGAAGCTTTCCACAGGGTACCATTGACTCTCAACACCATCATCTTTGAGCAAGTGCCTGGCAATACTTTATTTTGGCAACATTTTGCAGTGCAAAGACTGTCCTGTCTCCTGTTGTTTCCTTTGCCCTTCCCTAAACTGGGGGATTTCTGTTTTGCTTCAGAATGCTGTGATTCTGCATTCATAGTTGAAAGCCTTTCTCTTTCTTCCTTTTCATTTGTATGTTTACAATAGCTATTAGACCGATTACCTCAGCATTCTTTGCCAAATAAAGTTACCATTGGAAATAAGTATTATGTGACCTCCCAGAAATTCCTTTTTGAGAGTCAAGCTTTAGGGTGCCTTGTACTCTATTTTGTCATTTCTGTAACACAAGTTTCCTTAAAGTGAAGAATACCTGAAAATAAGTGTAAGGAGAGAAGCAGTGTATTCTGAGTTAGTTTGATTTCTTTAGAAAGAATCACAGATAGCGTGATTGTTATTAGCGTTCTCCATGTTTTAATGTTATTTATGCTACTGTAATATAAGCAGATTTCAATTGAAGTATTTTTTTAGGATTGAGGACTTTGGGAAAGATGCATTGCATTTCTTGCTTGGGAGGAAACTTCCAAAAGCTATCGTAGTCCTTATTATGCATGAAACCTTGACTGTTACTGGTGTGCCATGAGATAGGCCAAAATTTTTCTTGTTTTCCATCTTTGTTGTTCATAGCATAAGGGGTAAGATAAATAAAGTCTTCCTTTTACACATGGGAGAAATGAAGCGAGTTAAAGTATAACGATCATGGTATTTGTGATATATGTTGCTACTAGAGTGTGATTTAGAGCCGTACTGTCCAGTGTGGTAACTACTAGCCACATGTGGCTCCCTAAGCACTTGAACTGGTGTTAGTCCGAATTGAGATGTGCTCCAAGTGTGAAATACACAGTGGATATTGAAGACCTAGTATGAAAAAGATCTCATTGATACTTAGAAAATGACTTTTTTTTTTTTTTGCGGTACGCGGGCCTCTCACTGCTGTGGCCTCTCCCGTTGTGGAGCACAGGCTCCGGACGTGCAGGCTCAACGGCCATGGCTCACGGTCCTAGCCGCTCCACGGCATGTGGGATCCTCCCGACCGGGGCACGAACCTGTGTCCCCTGCATCGGCAGGTGGATTCTCAACCACTGCGCCACCAAGGGAAGCCCAAAAAATGACTATTTTTAAACCACAAAACCTGTTTTCATCTTGAAATAATACTTTTTGATATATTGGGTTAAATAAAGCATATTATCAAAATTAATTTAAAATTTATTTTAATGTGGCTACTAGAAAATTTAGAATTATATATGTGGTTCCTATTTCTATTGGACAGCACTGATCAAGAGTATAAAATGGTTGCTAGGATTACAACTTAGTATTCTCTGACTTGTACAATATGAAATTTGGAGACATAATATATGAAGTAGAATTATGATACAGCATGTACATGCAGATTACTTTGATATATTTAAATTTGTTTGCATTTTGGAAAACTATCAAGTATTGCCAACAATTAAAACCAGAGTTATAGCAGTTGTTCCTGGGCTGTCAATGAGACTTAAAAGTGCAGAACGGAGGAATTACGAATCACTGCCAACTGTAGGTGTGGCCACTGCATACTCACCAGGTTGAGAAGGAATCCCAGGCAGCTGTAGAGTGTGCAGCACTGAGGAGGAGGGCTGGGGAAAGTTTCCTTAAGGTTGGTTTCTGAAAGGGCTTTTGCTCAGCTCCAGGTCTTACTCCTCTTTCTGTTTCTGGCCAGATGGTGCATGTGTGGTACAGATAAATCTGACCCAAGTGTGGTTTACCTCTGAGTTCAGAATTGGCTGAAAATGACTTAAGTAGGTGGGTTTATGAGGCAGTAAGTGCTTAGAATTTACTAGGTTTTGTTGAATTAAATAGATGGTTCCTGTGAAACAGGAACTACTTATAATCTTCATTTTACACACAAGAACAAGTAGGTAGAGTGGCAAGGAGGGTATCTTGCCTTTTAAGATTTATGACCACTCATATCCTTACTCTTCAAAGCTATTTTTCACATTGGATACTTAGCTGAGAACTTCAATCATTTTAGAAGTTTGACTGCTAAATAAGATGTATGTGGTTTTTAGCTTTAATATTTAAAAATATTATTTTCTTATGTTGTGTGTTCCTTAATATTTGAGCTGGGGTGAAAAAATTCATTGGATTTTGTATTACAGTTCTGTCTTGATTTTGTAGATTTCTTGCTTAACCTCAGAAGTTTTACAGGTACGTTGTTGCAGAAACCTACATTTTTTTGGTTAATTGGTGATAATACTGTAACAGACATTACACTGTGTATTGGTAGGGCTTAGTTTTGAAGAGGAACATTTTCATTGGTTTAGATTTCATAGTGATAAAGCAAATATGGGTTTACACTTGGGCATAATCGGATAATGAAGTGGTTAGCAGAAACCAATAGACCATAGATTACCAAAATTGAGTACAACAAAGCATAATTAACACTATAACTTGACTGTAATTGGTGGGGGAGGGGTGGTGGCTATAGAAACAATAACAATTCTAAGTGATATGTGAAAATGCTGGTTACTAGCACGTGCCAGTTGATAGAATGCTAGAAAAATCAGATTTTACAGTAGATTTTAGATAGGATTTTTATATGCTTGAGGCTGACTATTGGCTTATATCCCTTTTTTTTCTTTCCTTTTAGAATATGGTTTCTAGTTTTAGGGTTTCTGAACTACAAGTGTTACTAGGCTTTGCCGGAAGGAATAAAAGTGGACGCAAGCATGACCTCCTGATGAGGGCGTTGCATTTATTGAAGAGCGGCTGCAGCCCTGCGGTTCAGATTAAAATCCGAGAATTGTATAGACGCCGATACCCACGGACTCTTGAAGGCCTTTCTGATTTATCCACAATCAAATCATCGGTTTTCAGTTTGGATGGTAGCTCCTCACCTGTAGAACCTGACTTGGCTGTGGCTGGAATCCACTCGTTGCCTTCCACTTCAGTTACACCTCACTCGCCGTCCTCTCCTGTTGGTTCTGTGCTGCTTCAAGATACTAAACCCACGTTTGAGATGCAGCAGCCATCTCCCCCAATCCCTCCTGTTCATCCTGATGTGCAGTTAAAAAACTTACCCTTTTATGATGTCCTTGATGTTCTCATCAAGCCCACGAGTTTAGGTAAGTGTTAGAGAAATCTGTTTCTTCTGGACAAGAGAGTAAGTAAAGCCAGAGGCCTTCAACTGTTAATTAATGATTGGCTGTTAGTATTATAAAACTGGGGCATTAAAATACCAAATGTTTAAATGTACAAATAAAAAGAAATATTGGCAACCATGACAGAAATCTAATATAAATCTCTTCATTCGTCAAACTTTCTTCTTATAGCTTAGAACTCAAATTGCTTCTGTGTGTATACGAAAAGACACAAATCTTATTTATTGCTGTGGTTCCACCTTTTGATGCTTTTGATATTTTTACAAAGAGACTTAGTTTCTGTTTAACATAGCTTTTTAAACTGTTTTCCTAAGGAATAAATCTTTTATACTTAATTTTTTCCTAACATGGCAGAGTTTGACACACGTTTTTTAGCTTTTTGTTTAATAACCGTTGACTGCTTAGAAAATGTAGTAAATTTTATATTATTAAACGTTGATACACGTGACTTTAACAAATTTATACCTAGGTTCATGACTTCTGTGCTGCAATGGCATATTTTCTTACTGGCTAATGAAATTATTTACAGAGGTATTTGAATTTATTGATAAAATAAATTGTTTCGGAAATAGCATTTCATAGTTAGTCTGGGAGGTCATTTTCCTTTCCATACTAGGAAGAACCCTTTTTGTCTCAAGTCATTTGAAAACTCTCTTAAATATATCAATGTGCTTTTTTAGTTTTGTATAGGACTGTACTTGTACATCTTGGTTGAACTAGAAGGAAATTTTAAGGGGCAGGGCTGGTTAATGGGGTCAGTATGGCCTGATGGTGGCAGGCCAAGGTGGCTGTGCTTTTCCCAGGCCCTTTCTCTTTGCTTTGTTTTTGTTTAACAAAACTGAGCCAGGGAGGTAGAGTAATGCATTTTATTCCTTCATTACATTCATTCTGAAATAAGGATTCTGTGTTTGTTCGCATTTGTGCAAAGTCCTTTGAGTAGAATTATTGCATCAAAGGGTAAGGACTCTTGATAACATATCAGTAAATTAGTTTCCAGAATAGCTGTGCCAGTTTAAATTCCACAAAGTGAGAGAATGTTTCTCGTTGCACTTTTTACTTCCTGCCTTTATTGATCTTTGCAATTTCGGTAGATGGAAACTTGTATCTTGTTTAGATTTTTCATTTTTAAAATTAATAACAGGAACAAACATTTAAAATGTTTATTACCCAGCTGTGTTTCTTTTATGATTTTACTTTCATTTTTAACTTTTTTTTTAACCAGGTTCATTTATCTGCTTAAAATGTTTCCGTAATTTATTTTTTTGTTCCTCCTTTTTTCATGGTTTTTGGTTCGTACCAATGTACCTACAGTGTCATGGCTCATTCACATGTTTCTTAGGAGTTATTGCAAATTTATTTCTTCGTGTTTAGAGAAAAAGTCAGACGAGTAATGTGCTTAGGTGACCCTACCTCATGGAACTCCTCAGGAATATGGCTAAGGCAGGACTGAGCATAAGAGGCCATGTGGGGTTCTGGTTACAGGGGAAGGTGTTTCAGAACCGGATCGAATGCCTGGAAGGAAGATGACTGGAGATGGAGAGAAGATGCAGCAGCATGTCTTCTCTGCTCCTAGTGTCAGTGGTGTGCCAAGCAGCGAGCTCTTAAGAGGCTTTGTGCCTTGCTTTCCATACTTTCCTTTGTTCAGAAACAGAAATAGGAATTTTCTTACTTTTCTGTATTCTTCATAGAGTTTCTCTTTCATTAACCTCAATTAAAGGAAGGTAATAGGCTTTTTATAAATTTACTAAAATAAAATTTTTGTATCTCATGTGGCTTAGATAAAATAATGCCAGAGGCATTTTTTGTTGAAGAGTGGGTAAGACGAAAACCTGCCTTTTGCTCATAGCTTACATTAGAATGTAAGAAATCCATAAAACCTCAGAGCTTATAAAATAACTTTTTGCTCCTGAGCTAAAAAATTGTTGACTCATGTATTTTTCAGGAGTTCTGCCTATCATTGTTTTTATAAACTTTATAAACAGATTTTGTTTATAACAAGGCTTAAACATTTCCTTATCCTGCCTTCCCCAAAAAGAAAAAAAAAATTTTCTTAATGTATATAGTCTTATTATTTCAGATTGATAAAACAGTGATCTAAAAAAGGCAGTTTTAGACTTTGAAGTAGAAAGTTAAAACATCGGCGTAATACCATATAATCTGCCAAATAAAAGTGGAAAAATTTAATCATTTCCAGTAACGACCTTCATATGAAAATATTTAGTGTCATGATGTCTAAAGCAATGCAGTGACATTTAGAAATTGCCTTAAGTTTTAATGATTTGGTTATATAATGTTGAAAATACTTGTAAAAATTAAAATTTGGGGTAAATCCATTTATTTGGAACACTGTTATGGAGAAACCTATTTACATTTGGGAACTGAGAATTAAATTAGCCTCAGGAATTGAAAGAGAGAACAAATCCGTATTTCAAAGCACATATTCTTTACATCCGTGGGCCAGTCAGTGTATTCTCGATTTAACATATAGTTGATTAGATGATTTCTAAGCCATCAACATACTGTTAAGCAGGAATTAATTAACAACATGGGAAAGATTGAAAGAGCCCTGGTAGAAAAAAAACAAACAAAAAGTCAAAAAATGTCGTTCCAAAACCTCTTGGGAATATTGAAGCCAATAGCCCTTTAGTATTGAGGGAATCGCTGTTACAGCAAGGTGCATGTATTGATGCCAAGTAAAACCCCCAAACAACCACGACGAGTATATTCTATTTAAGAAGATACATTATTACATAGTTTTGCAGTTTGGTTTTATTAAAATTGTTCAAATAAAACTATTTTAGCATTTAAAATGACAAACTGTGGCATCTAGAAAGCATGAGTGTACACAGTAATACTAAGTGAGGTTCTCTATAGCTGAGGTTTTACTGTAACAGATGCATAATCTCCTAATCTGAAAACAGGCTAACAAAATCTCTCTTCTCTTCCCTTAAATAGCTATTCTAATTTGCTCTCACAGGCAGTATTTTTGTCTTTTTTTTCAATTTTCTGTTTTCTTTCTTTTCTTTTTTTAAGATAATTTCTTGTGGTGATGAAATCCTTTCTCTTTAAAAAGTTTGTCTATATTCAGTCTGTACAAAAGAATACATAAAAAACATTGTTATAAAGAATATCCATGAATGAACACCTGTGAAACCACTGCACAGTTTTTAAGAAAGGAACATTGCCAGTATCTTTGAAGCCGTTTCCTTGCCTTTTCCTTTTTGAGTTAAATCACTATTCTGGATTTTGTGTTTCTCTCTTTTGCTTGTTTTACCATATGTGTATAAAAAAATGTAATGTTTAATTGGCTTGCTTTTGAAATTTATATGATGGTATACTGTGTATCTATTCTTCTGTGACTAGCTCTTTTTGTTCACTCTGTTTACAAACATCTACATGTCAATATGTCTAGCTGTTTGGTATTTTGTGAAATACCTTCCAAGTATTATGAGTCTTTGATTCCTTAAAATTTCTTCATTGTACTTTTCAGATTACAAAAGTAACTTATGCTAGTAATTGAAAATTCAAACATAGAAGTATAACAAAAAGGGAAAGTCCCTCATAACCTCATTTATTACTCAGCTTGAGTCATATCAATAATTAACTGTTTCTCTGCATATTATGTCATCTTTTTTCTCTTCCCCTTCATTAAACAAGGCTCTTCTAACCACAGAACCACTGTGCCACTTTTCTGGTGGAGGTAGTAGGCGTTATTCTACTTGTACCACTGTGAAAAGTGCCCTCTGGAGTTCTGCGCCTTGACAATCTTTCTTAACTGTATTTCTTAGAAATATATTGTACATCTGTAGATTATAGTAGGTCTGCTATCTTGTAGATGTACCATAACTGAACCAGTATTGTGTTGATGTACATTTTCAGTTGTTTTCAGTTTTTATTATTTATTCAGAAGTATTTTAGTGTATAACATATCTTGGGCACTATTCTTGCAGTCTTAGAAACATTGCTGCTGTGAGCATTTTTGCATATGTGTTTCTGAATACTTGCGTTGCATATTCATGAAATGTAAATGCCTAGATGTGTCTATTTTGGGTCAAGGAGTATGATTATTTAATATTTTGATATTCAACTTTTGTAGAGAAATTTTGGTTGCTTCAGAAGCATCGTAGCAATTTATACTCCCAATAATGTATGAATGTATTATTTTCCCTACACCTCATCAGCATTGTGTTGTTGGTCTTTTCATCTTTGTAATCTGATAGGTGACAGATTAATGAGCGTCAGCATCTTTTCTTATTCTTAAATTTCTGAATATTAGGAAATACTCATTAAGCCTCTGGGTGTAGTTAAACAGGTTTAAAGTGATATGCACATTAGTGTAAAGCCATTAAATCACTTCACAATCTCACTTCTAAAGAATTTGGATAAATTCATTTCTGTTAACTCAGTTAACAAGTATATAATGAGGATTTAATTTGGATATGGTCATGTAGCCTAATTGTGGAGAAGTCAGAAGTATGGAGTGGGCTTTAGGAATTTTGCTGTTTAGTTGGAGAGAGAATATTAACATGAGAGAAAAGTAGCAAGCAGTTATATGCTTGTATGACGAAGCCCTATAACTTGTGAACCTAAAGCTCAAATATTGTATTGGCTTAATGAATGAAGAAGTTAATCAAGACTTTTTGGAGTAGGAGGGACACTTGAGGGAGCTTTGAAGGATGAATGTGCCTGCTTTGAATTGATGGAGTGTGTCGGAGAGTGGGCATCAGGAAAGGTGAGAACTGTGAGTAGTCACAGGAGTAGAAATAAAAATGACACAATTGTGAGACCTGACAGTGAATAGAGCAGGACTTGGGGAGACACTGGAAATGTAGATTTGTTAAGAAAGAGTTGAGGCCATTGTTATGGAGGTTCTCATAGATAAAGGAGTTTAGACATGGTTCATTCACAGGTAAGTTCTGCTTAGCATTTTTCAGCAGAGGAATGGTGATGAAAAAGTGGTGCTGAGGATTACCAGCTCTGCACTTGTGTCCTGATGAGGGACTGGCAGAGAGGCAGGGTTGCTCCTTCATTTGTACAAAGTAATAATAGGTTTTGAGTAGGATGGTGGTAGTGAAAATAGGAGGCAGCCAATAAGAAAATTAAAAAACAAAACAAAACAGGACTTAATGACTAACTGGATATAGGGGATGAAGACGGAGAACTGAGATAAAGGAAATGAATGATTTCTGTGATTGAACAATTGGTAACAATTCTCCTTTTTTCATAATTCTGAATTAAAGCCACTGTTTTACAAGAAGAGTGAAACCTCAGTACTCTGCCCTCCCCAAATGATCTTTGCAGCTGGTGTATAGGGAGAAGAGTATTTTAGTATTAAACATCACTGATGGTTATTAACATAATGATTGTTTCTGTATAGATAAAATTCTTCCAGGTGATTCGAGTTTTCTATATTCTGTTTAAATCTCATAAAATTAGAAAAATTTTGCTGTGTGTATAGGAGGATTATCATTTTAGAATGTTCTCATAAAGCAGTGTTTAATGATAACTGTAAATTGATTATTGGAATATAGATGCATATTCAGTCAAGTGTTCATTGAAAGCATTCATTGTTTTAATGAGTGCTAGAACATCATTGAATCTGTTAAAGTTCTTTGAGAAGAAAATACACTTCAGTTTTTAATAATACACTTCTGAAGGATGACTTCATTAGATAATCTTTTTAAACTAGCTAATCATCTCTATGCCGATAATTATTTTGTGTCTTAATAAGTCTCCCAACCTAGAAGTTTTAAAATTTTATCTTATATGAATGCTCTGTGTAATTGAATATAAAGTATTGAAAACAAAACACAACAACAAAAGTAACAAAACAAACAAGAACAAAAGAGACCTGAATCTTGGATAGAATTCTCCTCGGGGGTGTTTTTGACTTCCTCAGACTTTTCATTAGATGATACCGTAGTCAGGGATGAAATGTAATTTTGAAGGTTGTGTTTTATATATATATATATATATATATGTGTGTGTGTGTGTGTGTATATATATATATATATATATATATATATATATATATATATACTTTTTTTTTTTTTTTTGCGGTACGCGGGCCTCTTACTGTTGTGGCCTCTCCCATTGCGGAGCACAGGCTCCGGACGCGCAGGCTCAGCGGCCACGGCTCACGGGCCTAGCCGCTCCGCGACATGTGGGATCTTCCCGGACCGGGGCACGAACCCGTGTCCCCTGCATCGCAGGCAGACTCTCAACCACTGCACCACCAGGGAAGCCCGAAGGTTGTGTTATATTTTGATTAAAATTAGTATGTTAGAATAAAGAATGACAAATGTTTAACATTGAACCTGCTTTAGAGTGACTTTACTTTCATGAGTCCAAGATGAATGTAGCTTAGTACTTTCTATTGGTGCATTTTAACCATAAAAGTTTCAGAATTCAGCAGACTCTTTATCAGAAGTGCCTGGTTATTGCAGGTTCTTCTGTTATTGGATTTGTTATTGGAATATTATCTTTCTTTTTTTTTCTTCCCCAGTTCAAAGCAGTATTCAACGGTTTCAAGAGAAGTTTTTTATTTTTGCTCTGACACCTCAACAAGTTAGAGAGATATGCATATCCAGGTAAGAGGAGTTTGGAATATATTCTCCAGGATGTTGGTGTATTAGTCTGCTAGGCCTGCCGTAACAGAGTACCACAGACTGGGTGGCTTAAAGAACAGAAATTTGTCTTCTCACATTTCAGGAGGCTTGAAGTCCAAGACGAAGGTGTTGACAGATTTGGTTTCTTCTGAGCCCTCCCTCCTTGGCTTGCAGATGGCTGCCTTCTTGCTGTGTGTACTCACATGGCCTTTCCTCTGTGTGCCTGTGTATTCCTGGTGTCTCTTATAAGGACACCAGTCCTAGTGGATTAAGGCTCCACCCTTATGACCTCATTCAATCTTAATGACCTCTTTAAAGTCCCCAACTCCACAGACAGTCACACTGGGGGTTAGGGCTTCAGCATATGAATTTTGGGGGAACACAGTTCAGTCCATAACAGTTGGGCCATTTCTCCTTAAGGTAAGCATAGTATATTTTGACTAAGGTTAGCCAAATATTTAATAAATACTCTGTTAGAAAAAAATTTTAACTTTTGAATAAAACCCCTTTGAATTACTTTTGGCAGTAACTTTTTTTTAATGAAACTTTTATTCTAAATATAGCAACATAAAGAATTTGTGGTAACAGAACAAAGATAGAGTGACCATAAACTTCATCATCCAAACATAGGCATTTTTAGAGTGAAAATGGATATTATTAATAATTTTTTCTGGGATAAGAACATAAACTGGGACCATTCTGAGCTATATGCTCACCTAGACCAAAAAATTAGCAGAAATATGAATACAATTATGAAAAATACTCTTAGCTTTTCCATTTCAAAAAATAGGGTAAACTTAAACACATTTATAAAGAGCAAATGAACTAAGAGATAGGAGGAAAGAAAAGGAAATCTGTAGTATATACTTTCCCAGTTAAAAATATAGTCATTGTTGGTGTTAATAATATATTATTTATAAGACTTTAGAAAGATTTAGCATAAGAAAACTGAGACTCCTGCAGGTCACATGATTTTCTGGGATTGTAGAGTTAAAAGTTGGAACAAAGATTTGAGCAAATTAGAGGTTTTTTGCATCCTTTCAGCTCTTCATTAGAACACTCACCTTCTCTGAGATGTTAATAGGAGTGTTTAAAAAGTAAAGATTCAACAGTTAAGTTTTGGAAATTCTGTATTCAACGTAGGTACATAAGTTCTTAAAGCCAGACTTTTCAGCCTTTAATATGTTAATGTGTATTGTCAATCTCCCAGGGTGGTGGATCCAAATTTATGGGCCTCTCTCTCTTTTAAACATCCTGACATCTTGAAGATGCACTGTTATGTGGAGGAGTATGGGACACACACAGCTTTAGATTCTTTCGTTAATCACATCACTGCTCTCAACAGTCTCAGAATGATTTTATAACTTGACCTGGTAAAATTTGAGCTCCCAAAAATTAGTGCTTAGATAGTCTGGCTCTCCCACAAAAGGGAAAAAGACAAAGTGTTGAAAAATAAGATTAAAAGAAAAAAAAAGAGGCAGTACTAAGGATTAGTCCAAAAGACCCAATATCCAAATAATAGAGGTTTTAGGAAAAGTAGAGAAAATTTAGAGGAGGAAATTATCAAAGAAGTAAAATGAATGTAGCTTGATGGAGTTCATGTCCACCAGGGGCAAGACATTGCAGGCAGTTTTTATAAATTGGAAGTACTTTCAATCTTGGGGATAGTAATAAACCAACTAAAAAATTAATAGGATAAATGAAAAATTATATTTTATATCCAAGCCATATCATTATTATTAAGTTTTGTTTGTTATTCATTGATGATTCCTTGCTTGAGAACATTTACTAAGTGTTTATTAGGTACAAAACACTGTATTGTATGACATGCCTCTTTTCTACAAGTTGCTTGCAGTCTCGCTAGTGAACTAGCTCATATACCTAAAATGATTGTTGGCATTGCAAGAGCCAGCATGAAAAGAGCCAATTCAGTAATGACAAATAAGAGCTGATTTATAGGAGAAGATTACTATTAACGTTGGTGGTCTGGGAAAGCTTCTTTAGGGTGTTGGGTGGGCCTTTGAAGGAAGGAGATTATTTACTCAGCATGGAATTGTGAATAATATGTACCATTTGCCTTAAAAAGGTGTGTGTGTGTAATTTGCGTAAGTACATAAAATATGTCTGGACAAATATGATAAGCTGCCTCTGGAGGAGGGAATCAGGTGGCCAGGGTCGGAATTGGGGGAGTCTCTTCACTTTATATCCTTTTTTGTATCTATTTGAACTATGTGAATGTATTAACTAGTCAAAAAAAATGAATGACTAAAATTTAAATAATTATTTTCAATTAAAAATCTTAATCATGTTCTGCAGATGGATGGTGGTGATGGTATAATGTGAATGTACTTAAAGCCATAGAACTATACACTTTAAGATGGTTAACATGATAAATTTTATCTTATGAATATTTAACCACAATAAAAATAAAAAAAAATTAACCATAAAAGTAAGGCTATTTGTGATCCTACCAGCAAAGAAGACAAAACACACATACACATGTGCATGCAAACTCCAACCTTTTCAGAGTTGGGTAATCAAATAGTAAAAAATCTCCTTCCTAAGAAGCAGAAGTAACAGTTTGGTACCCATTACCTAGGTTTAATAATTATCAACATTTTGGAATCTGTATGTGACCACTCCTCAACTTTTTTCCTGAAATATTTTAAAGGAAATTGCAGACATCGTGTAATTTCACCCAGAAATACCTCAAGATACATCTCTAATTTTTAATGTAATCACACTAAAAAATTAATAATTCTTTAATATAAAAGTGTCTACCCTATATTGAAATTTTCTCAGTTGTTCTTCAGTATTCAGACATGTATTATTTTGACTTTTATGTCTCCCAAGATTAAAAAAAAACCTTTTTACTTTGAAGTAATCTTAGGTTTATAGAAAACATGTGAAAGTAGTAGATAATACTCTTCAGCCAGTTCCTTTAATATTACCATGTTGCATAATTATAAGTGCAGTTATCAAAACCAAGAAATTAACCTTGGTGTAATACTATTAACTAAACTACAGTCTTTATTCAGGTTTCATCAGTTTTTTTTTTCTTTTGCGGTACGTGGGCCTCTCACTGTTGTGGCCTCTCCCGTCACGGAGCACAGGCTCCAGACGCGCAGGCTCAGCGGCCATGGCTCACGGGCCCAGCCGCTCCGCGGCATGTGGGATCTTCCCGGACTGGGGCACGAACCCATGTGCCCTGCATCGGCAGGCGGACTCTCAACCACTGCACCACCAGGGAAGCCCTCATCAGTTTTTCTGCTAATTAATTTCTGTTCCTGGATCCAATCCAAGATCCCAAATCACATTTAATAGTTGTGTCATTAGTCTCTTTCAGTCTGTGATGGTTTCTTAGTGTTTTCTTCTCTTTCTTAACTTCCGATATTTTTGTGGAGTACTGATCAGGTATTTTGTAGAACGTTCCTCAGTTTGGGTTTGTCTGATGTTTTGTCATGATTAGATTGAGATTATGCATTTTTAGCAAGAGTACCTCAAGTTATATGCCCTTCTCAGTGTATCATAACAGTGATCCATAATATTGATACATCTTATATTTGGTGATGTTAATTTTGATCACTTGGGTAAGGTACTGTTCACCAGACTTCTGCACTGTAAAGTTGCTGTTTTTTTCCTTTGTTATTAATAAATATCTTGGGGGAGATATTTTGAGACTAGGCACATATTCTGTTTATCTTCAGATTTTTCCCACCAATTTAGCATTCACTCATGGATCTTGCCTTCAGTACTTACTTCATCATAAACACTCTTGTGCTCCAATGATGTGATTTTTCTGTTATTATTCTTTTCCACATTGGAGTTATTCTTTTGTAAGGAAGGGCTGTCCCTTGCCCCACATTTATTTATTCAGTTACTTGCTTGTATCTGTGTGGGCCCTGGAGTACTCTGGGGTGCTATATAATTCATATTGTTGCTCAAACTGTTCTACCTTTGGCTATTGGCCATTCTTTCAGGTTGGCTCCTATGCCCTTTTGATATGTCTCCACACATTTCTGAGGACTACTTTACTGCTCCAGGCTCATCTTTTATTTTCTCTGCCCCAGTTCTGGAAAGATAACCTCTCCAAGGAGCTCTGGTTCCGCTCTTACAGTACTTCCTACCACTTTCTTTGGAAAAAAGTGGTTCATTTGACTCTGTTAGCATATTACACATTCTGGATTTGTATAATCGTGCACCTTGTGGTATCATTTGACTTCTATCCCTATGGTTCTCAAATTTTGCTGCATATTAGAATCAACTGGGGAGCCTTTAAGACTCCAAATGCCCAGATTTCATTCATACCAATTAAATTAGAATCTCTGAGGGTGGAACCCAAACAGCAGTAGTTTTTAAAGCTCCCCAGATGTTTCCAGTGTGCAAATTTGAGAACTGCTGTGCATCCAGCTCCTCCCCTTTGCCTGTAATGGTGATAAGGTCTAAACCAGAGGCGTGAATACATTCAGGTTTGGGTTGTTTTTTTTTTCTATTACATCTTATAACGATTGAATAGTGAGTTCAGCTCTGTTCTTGGCTATAGCACCACTCCTTCCATTGGGTACCATTGCCTCTGTAATCATGCTCTCTCAGTTTCTTACACTGACATCTCTTGCATGTTCCCGAAATCAGCGTGTGATTCTCTTCTCGCTGCTCTGTGATAGTATCTGTGGATGTGCTTTTTTTTTTTTTTATTAACTGGCTTCAAAGAGATTTTTGCTTAGTATATATTTCAGTCTATTGCCTATTTCATTAATGGCATGGGATCTGCCTGGACAGGCCTCTTTGTATTATCCCATACTTCATCTACCACATCCCCTCAGTTTGCTACACTCTGTTGATCCTTCTTTTATGTCTCTTTCAAGATTTAAAACTTGAATTAACTCTACCTTTGAGGGAGTTAGCATGGTCTTTAGAGTAGTATCAATTGGAATGTGAATTCTGGCTCAATCACTTAAGTCTGTCTGCCCCTAGGTAAGTTCCTAAAGCCTATTGAATCTTATTTACCCAGTGTGTAAAATTGGAAAAATAATCACCACCTCACTCAATGATTGGGGGTTGAATGCCATTACTGGCTCTACCTCTGCTTATCCTGGTGAGTAGCATCACCATCTATCCAGTTGCACCATTCCAAAACCTGGGTACCATCCTAGGTCCCCTTATCCTACCTTCCTGTATCTAGTCAGTCACTGAGTCCTATCAGTTATTATCCCTAAATATCATTCAGTGATATTTATGTTTAAATAACTTTCAAGCCCTCATCTTTTGCCTATACAATTGTAATGACCTCCTAACTCTCCCAGCTGACCAAGTGATCTTTCTAAAGCCCATTCAGTTTTTTCTTTCTTGTACTTAAAAACCCTGTAGTTTTTTCTTTCTTGTGCTTAAAAACCTTATGAAGTCCATACTCCATTGCTTGACAATTCTCTTCAACATCCTACTCTACTCATCTTCTTTTTTCAAAATTTAATTTTTTAAATTGAAGTATAGTTGATTTACAGTATTGCATCAGTTTCAGGGGGAGGTGCCGCTAAGTTATTCAGATACATATGTATCTTTTTTTTTTTTTTTTTTTTTTTTTTGCGGTACGCAGGCCTCTCACTGCCGTGGCCTCTCCCGCTGCGGAGCACAGGCTCCGGACGCGCAGGCTCAGCGGCCATGGCTCACGGGCCCAGCCGCTCCGCGGCACGTGGGATTTTCCCAGACCGGGGCACGAACCCGTGTCCCCTGCATCGGCAGACGGACTCTCAACCACTGTGCCACCAGGGAAGCCCTATATGTATCTTTTATAGATTCTTTTCCATTATAGGTTGTTACAAGATATTGAATATAGTTCCATGTGCTGTACTGTAAATCCTTATTATCTATTTTATATATATGGTGGTATCTTTTAATCCCATACTCTTAATTTATCCCTACCCCTAGCCCTCTTTCCCTTTTGAAAACCGTAAGTCTGTTTTCTGTGTCTGTGAGTTTGTTTTCTGTTTTGTAAATAAGTTCATTTGTGTTATTTTTTTTAGATTCCACATATAAGTGGTATATAATATTTGTCTTTCTCTGTCTGACTTACTTCACTTAGTATGATAATCTCTTGGTCCACCCATGTTGCTGAAAATGACAATATTTTATTCTTTTTTATGGCTGAGTAATACTCCATTGTGTTTGTGTGTGTGTCTGTGTGTATCTGTATCTTCTTTATCCATTCATCTGTTGATGGACACTTAGGTTGCTTCCATGTCTTGACTATTGTAGTGCTGCTGTGAACGTTGGGGTGCATGTATCTTTTTGAATTAAGAGTGTTTGTCTCCTGGATATATGCCTGGGAGTGGGATTTCTGGATCATATGGTAACTCTAGTTTTTAAGGGAACCTCCACACTGTACTCCATAGTGGCTGCACCAGTTTGCATTCCCACCAACAGTGTAGCAGGGTTCCTTTTCCTCCACACCTTCTCCAGCATTTATTATTTGTAGACTTTTTGATGATAGCCCTTCTGACTCATGTGAGGTGATACCTCATTGTAGTTTTGACTTACATTTCTCTGATGATTAACAGTGTTGTTGGCCATCTGCATTTCCTTTTTGGAAAAATGTCTGTTTGGTTCTGTTCATTTTTTAATCGGGTATTTTTTTGATGTTGAGTTGTATGAGCTGTTTATAAATGTTGGATATTGATTCCTTATCAGTCATATCTGCAAATATTTTCTGCCATTCCGTACATTGTCTTTTTGTTTTGTGGATGGTTTACTTTGCTTTTGTAAAAGCTTTTATATTTGATTAGGTCCCATTTGTTTATTTTTCCTTCCTTTTCCACATTAAGGAAGTTTTCAGCTGTTATGTCTTCAAATATGTTCTCAGGCCCTTTCTCTTTCTCTTCTCCTTTTGGGGGCCCCTATAATGTGAATTATTAGTGATTTTTGATGTCCCAGAGGTCCCTTAAACTATCCTCATTTCTTTTCATTCTTTTTTTCTTTTTTCTGTTCAGTGGCAGTGATTTCTGCTACTGTCTTCCAGCCCACTGATCCATTCCTGTGTATCATTTACTCTGTTGTTGATTCCTTCTAGTATATTTTTCATTTCAGTTATTATATTCTTCATCTCTGGTTGTTCATTATATTTTCTAACTCTGTTAAAAACTTCTAACTTCTCACCCTGTGCATCCATTCTTCTCCCAAATTCTTCGATCATCTTGTGATCATTACTCTTTCTTGGGTAGATTGCCTATCTCTGCTTCACATAGTTTTTCTTCTGGAGTTTTATCTCGTTTCTTCATCTGGAAATGTTCCTCTGCCATCTCATTTTGTCTAAGTTGCTCTTTGTATTTTTGTGTATGTGGTAGGTTAGTTTTGTTTCTCGACTTTGGAGAAGTGGCCTGTGTAGGATCTACTAAACTTTTTTTAATCATCTCATCTCCTGTCACTCTTTAGCAGCCTATACTCTAGCTAGACTTTCATAGCAGTGCATCTTTGCATATCCTCTTCCTCCTTACTCTGTTTGGCAAACGTGAGTCATGTTTTAAGGGCCAGTTCAAGTCTTCCCTCTTCTGTGATACCTTTTCACATTTCCCCAAATTCATCATTTGTCTCTCTCTGTACTACTCCCATGTACTTATTTTCTATTAAAGCATTTATTTGACTACTTGGTTTCAGTAAGAAGTTTGTAAATTCAGCATCTGTTACTCATTTTTATATTCTCAGAGCCTGTCACAGTGCCTGGCATATAGTAAATGCCTTTATATCTGATAAATGAGTTCAACATGTGAAAGTTCCTAGAGCAGTGACTGGCAGAAAATGAATGTCAGAAGATGCTTAGTCATTACTCGTCACGTTTGTGAAGATCTGTAACACATTGCCTTTCCCAGTTTATGTTAATTTCCCTTACTGGAATAAAGTATAAATCCTTAGTGAACCATTCAAAACCCTTTATAACGTTCTCCCATTTATCTTTCTAGGTTCATCTTTTGTCTTTTCTCTTTTTGAAAATTATGTTCCCAACCTAACAAGTTTCTGCCATGTATCTCTGGTTGATACTCACCTTTCCTTCTGTTGAGAATCACCCTACTAGTGAAGACACTGTTACTGATGGAAGTGTGTCTCTCTACGTGGAAATAGAACCACTGCTGTACAAACCCTGTTTTCTAATTTGTTTGGACTGATTGCCTTGAACTTTCAAGACAAAATTGAATTTCCCTCTTTTCTGTAACACTTATTTTTCATAATGTACTGTAACACTTACCACATATTATTTTAGTTGTATATATTTGTTACTTACTAGCATATGAGACCTTTGAGAGCAAATATTATGTCTTATTTGTCTTTGATGCTCCAGCACCCAGACTTTGCAGTGTTTCTTGATTTTAATGAGCAGAATGATATGAGTTACTCTCAAGAGGTCAGTGTTGTCTAGGATATTTTGAATTGGCATTTGAGAAATGTGGAAGCTACTACTGGCAAGAGAAATAGTTAACAATAATAGCAGCCAGCTGCTCACACTTGTTAAGCACTTCTTATATCCAGGCACTTCGCATGTAGTATTAACACGTTTGTCACAACAACTTCATGAAGTAGATGCAGTAATTTTCCATCTTTAACAGATGTAACTGAGGCACAGAAAGGTTAGGTAATTTGCCCAAGGTCATACAGTTTGGGACTATGGAACTCAGGCTGATCACTACTGTGCTTTACTGCCTTCCAGTGAACATAGAGAATTGGAAGCAGTAAGAAGCAAGTTGGAACAAGATGGAGGGCTATATGTACTCTCAAGACAGGACTAGTCTCTAATGATCTTCTCTCTGACACAGTCCAGGATTTATGATAATGGCTAAGGAGAAGATTTCTTAAACTGTAAAGAGAATACATGTCACTTGGGGAATCTTACTAAAATTCAGATTCTAATTCTGTAGTTTTGGAGTGGAGCCTGAGATTCTGCATTTCTAACTAAGAAGCTCCCAAGCAGTTACAATGCTGCTTCATTGTGGACTCCATTTTGAGTGGCAAGTGTTCAGGAGGTTCCATCCCAGAGATATTTCACATAGGACTCTGTTAGGCTCTCATCTAGAAATTTTAAGATTCTGTTTCCTTATTCGGGTACATAGTTATGAAGTTGCTGGGGTATAGAGGTTCTGAGGCTCTAGACACCAGTTCTCTATCCTAGTTCTTTATTAGAATCACCTGAGTAGTTGTAAAAACTACTAATGCTCAGACTGTGCTTCAGAACCAATAAGAATATCTGATGAGTGGGCCTGTGTATTAAAACAAAATTTGCAAGTGATTAGAATGCTCAGCCAAGGCTTCAGAACCACTGTAAGTAAACAAATTAATTAAACTCTTTTAGAACCATGCTCCTTTTCCTGTTAACCAAGTCTGTTGTCTGTTGAAATAAAAATTGTATTGCGAAAGTTCCCATGAATTGAAAATACTTTAAAATTGCCATAAAGACAAGACTAAATGTTAAGCAAATGAGGGCTTTCATAACTACAGTGTTTTAATTAAGCCTTGTGCTATTGGTAAGGTAGTGTTCATTTTTTAAGGACTAAGAGTAAAAATACCAATAATGCTTTTTTCTGTTGAGAATGTTTCTGTGAATTCTAGCTGTGTTTTCTTAACCCAATTTTTTTCTCTTTCCAACAGGGATTTTTTGCCAGGTGGTAGGAGAGATTATACAGTCCAAGTTCAGTTGAGGTGAGTTTGAAATTTTCTTGTTACTTTAATTTTATACTTGTAACTATATGTATATAGTCCTGAATTTGTAAATACATAAGCATGTTTGAGTACACTATTTAAGAGTATTTCTTTTTTTTCTTTAATGCAGACTTTGCCTGGCAGAGACGAGTTGCCCTCAAGAAGATAACTATCCCAATAGTCTCTGTATAAAAGTAAATGGGAAGCTGTTTCCTTTGCCTGTAAGTTGCTTTTTATTCATAGGCTTTTGTATGTAAGTTTATTATAAATACTGACAAGGCCTAGAAATAGTGATCACTTAGTACCAACGAACAGTCCCAGCATTAAATACTGTTTTCCACTAGAGAGATTCATGGCTCCTTGGCGAAGTGGCTGATTCCAGGTTTGGGGGAGATGGAAAAGATGAGCTTGAAGCGTCTTGTGCCAGGAAGTGAGGAAGCTGTGAAAGACTCTTCAGATCATATCGGATGGCATAGTAGCAGGGCGGGACCTGCATGTGTAGGGCAGCGTGTTGTAGTGGATGTCTGAATGAGCTGGGCCTCAGCCATGGATGAGATGATGAAAGTTAGAGGCTGCTGAGAGCGACTGGACATGGAGATTAAGGATTCTGAGCTTGAGCCTTGATGGTGCACACTTGGGGGATGGATGCAGTGATGTTTGATTGACAACCTATTGTTTAAGCAGTGAAGTAGTATATGGGCTTCAGCACCTGGGAGATACACACACACACTCTCTCTCTCAGTGTGTATAGCCTGCTTCTGACCTGTTAGATAGCTCCAGCCTCTTCAAATCCTGTTAGTCAAATCTTAATATAACAATTAATTGTTGAACAGGACTATGTATCTGTCTCCACTGAGGTTTGGACTAAGTTACTAATTTGGTACAGCTGTGTGGAAGTAAAGCCTTAACACAATAGTAGTAGAGCATGGCCTGTTTTTCAAGCCCTACAGAGTGGATATGTATCTTAACTGAAGAAGTGCTGTGAGAACAGTGATTCCACCGTTACGTTAAGCTGCCATTTCAGTAAAGCGGATACCATGTGACTGTTGAGATAGAGATGGGGCAGCTGTTTAGCATCCCTGCTGGGCACAAGACTTGTCTCTGGAATAAGTATATGTGCATCAGCTGTGAGCAGGCTGTACCAGGGCCAAGTGGTTGTAGTTGAAGCCCAAAGTGAAGATGGTCAATGGCCAAGGCTGACCCTGCCAGTCAAAGATGTGACTTCTTGGTTGTCACGAGTCTCACTTCTCTCACGCGTAGCCTGTGGATTTAGAGACCTGAGAAATAACGTGTTTCATACATTTTATAGGGCTTGAGCAATACTGCACGACTGCCTACTCTTTCTGAAAGATGTCTGTGAGGCTGAAATCATGAAAGAGAGTTTTCTGGGGATGAAAGGGGAAATTTCAGAGGCTGAGCAGTTATGGTGGGGAGGAATGCTTACATGGCCTTGTGCATGTTCAAACCCCAGTGGGACATTTTGTCTCTTGGGTTTCTGGCCATAAGCAACAACAGATCTCAGGAGCTGTCTTTTATCTGGCTGGATCATATAACGATCTAAACCAAGGGAAGAAGCAGCCTTACTTGGAGCTGAAGGCTGCCACTGGGTGGCCAGATGAGATGTGTAGCAAAGGAAACCTGCGGTTTTGGAATGATAGCACATTTTCCATTGCTTTTCATATCCAATTTTCTCTGTCGATGATGGGCTAAGATTTCTTTTGACCTTTGACTTTTATTGCTATTTAACTCTCTCATTCTCCTTAGAAATATCTAATTATGATGATCTTCTTGCTGTCTATAGACCCACCTTGAAGATCTATCCAGTATTATATGTGCCAGTGCTGGGGGGTCGTGTCTGAAATGTGTGAGGCTCTACCTAAACTCTGGCATTGCTTCAGAAAATATGATAGTGACAGATGTGTATACACACGTTCCACACAATTTTCCAGGTGGACCAGTATTTTTGCTATAATATTTTCATCTGTGAGATCTGCAGCACCACTGTGGATAGCTCTGAATTTGTCATTCTTCCAGGACTTTTGAGAGAGAAGAAATTAGGCAGTTGAGCACTTCCTCTGGGACATTGTTACTCAGTCACTGCTGCTTTCTTACCAAAAGCACTAACTAACCGTTGAGTACTTATACTAGGCTGTTTGTGAACACATCAGCTACTACGTGAAACACCCTTTGTCTGATGAGTCTTGCACTCACCTCTGGAGCCAGAGTCCTGCAGTGGCTCCAGGAGCACTTGTGAGGGAGGTGAAGAAAGGTGAGCATTAGGACAAAGGATTTCAAAACAGATTTCACAAACAGAAGGCAATGGGGTGATGATGGGGGCAAGGGTGAGCTTGCCTGACCCTAATAGGACCATCCCAAAGACCAGATGACAGTCTTTCCCAGGTTTTTCGTCTTCAGCCCTGTGAACTCCTGTGGAACAGTTGACATAAATTTACATGCAACTGATGAAAAACTGCTGAGACCTCCCCTTGATCCACAATTGCTGTTGTTTGGGATAATGTAATATGGAGCCTTTATTAGCATGAAGCAGATTTATGAGAATCATGTGAGTGTACTGCTGCCTGAGAAGAAGTGAGCTCTTCACCAACATGGAGATCTTCAGGGACTTTGTTCCAATTGTAAGAAGCATCAACAGGCCACAAAGCAATTCGACATGTGGTCCTTGCCCATGATCCTGGTTTATCATACAACAGATCCTGGAGGAGTAAGTCATGGGATTTCCCATTAGAGCTCTGAATAAATTCGAATTTGTGTCTGGGAACAAGTGTCTACGTGTATGACCTTATTGTAGTATGCAGTCATTATGGATCCATGATGAACAAAGAGTAAACTGAATGGGAAATGGTGTTACCTTGATAATATAATATAATAGCAATGTGTCCCTGGATTCTTAAGGGTCAAATAGTGATGAAAGCAGTTTATGTGCTGTTTTACCCACATCAAGATGCTGAGTTTTATAAGACATCTTTATCCCTTGATTTTTCCAGTCCCTTGATACAGAGATGACAGTAAGCAGTTCATAGCAGGACTTGTAGAACGATAAGTGCAGAGTGGACAGACACAAGTGAAACTGCCTCTGAGAATCTTCCCCACACCTCCACCTTTGATTCAAGCACTGCAAGCATACACACTGACAGCCAAATGAGAAAATTACATGCTTTTAAGGGTAGAAGAGAGAAAAATTCTTTGCTTGGAGAGTTATTTTGAGAGGCTGAATTATTTTTCCTTTTAAACAGATTTTGAGAAATTTATGTAAACCTGTGGAGCTGTAAGGTTGGGGTGTGGAGGTGGGTTGACATGGGGTAGTATTTCTTGGAAAGATTCCAAAGAGTGGAGAGAATGTGTGCTTACAGTTCAGCTGAAAAAGATCTCCTAAGTATTTCCTCTCGGTGCAGCAGGAGACTTATTAGTACTAGTGCCATTATCTCAATGTATTCTCTGAGTTTGTGGATTTCTTTTTGCTGATATATTATTTTTTTCCTGCATATATTAGTTACACCGACGGTCTGCCTCACAGTAAATCTGGCCTGAAGTAAAGTCAATATATTCTTCTTTTGAAACACACACACACACCAATTTGAAGAGATTCCCTTGGCCTAAGATGGGATAATATTGGCATCTAAAAAAATAATACTTAAGTGGACTCAAAATTATCAAATATATAAATGAGTTTATAATTATGCTAAAATAAACCTTTGGAGGTTACATCAACTCATTACTCGAAAAACTGGTTAAGGGAGAGAATCATTGATTTCAGAGTAACAAATGTTGCTGTGGTCAAGTTCTTTATGGAAAGATTTCAACTAATAGAAGCAAAAGAAAGAATGGATTTAAAAACTTCTTTTGTAATCCGTAATCATATAATGGATCTTGGTAACCATCATCAATGGATACTAAAACCATTAGGTCAAAGCTGGATGCGGAACTTTATAGTGGAAGGATCAGGCCTACATCAGCTGAACTGATCAACCTTTACATCACTGAAAATGGGGCAAACAGACATTCTGTGCCTCATGATGTGGTACAATAGGAAGAACATAACATTCCTTATGTAGTTTTTGTGCCTGAAAATTTGAACCTGAGTTTGGTCAAGCCTGTACAACTAATTACCAGCTTAAAACATGGGAGTATCATACTTTCATACTGTGAGGAAGCAGTCTGTCTAATACAGAAGAAGAGGTCATTCTTCAGGTCAGAAGCCCTGGGGTCTCCAACGACAGCATTGGAAAAGGAGTAGACTTGGAGGCAGGGGGTGGGAGAGAATAAAAATTATTCTTTAATATAGAATAAAGGAGACTTCAGAAACAACTGAGCACACTGTGAGGGTCAAGTTTGGATTCCGATTCAAACTGTAAAAGGACATCATATATACCAAACTATGTATGGATAAAGTAATGTGTCTGGGATACCTTATATAATAATCTGAGATGGGGGTAAAGACTGCTTATAAGTAAATTATTGAATTGGATGATAGGTATATGGGAATTTGTTATACTTTTTTCCCTATTTTTCTATAGGTTTGAAAGTTTCAGTAATAAAAAGATAAAAGACATCTCTGAGGCGGTTGAGAAATTGGAATATAAAGTAGATATTAGATAATTTTTTTAAGTTATGGTTAAATTAAGATCGTGATACTGTTTTTTTTTTTTTAAGGTCTTTTAAAGATGCATATAAAAGTATGGGTCAAATGGCATGTCTAGAACTTGCATTTAAATACTCGGGCAAAAATAAATGTGTGTATGTGTGGGGTATGTATTTTGGGGTGGGCTCGGGTTGGGCCAGAGGCAAATGAAACAAGTTTGTCAACACGTTGGTTATTGAAGTGGTTTGGTGGGTACTTTACTGTTCTTTCTACTCTTGTGTATGTTTGAAAATTTTTATAATACAAAGTAAAATAGTAAATATGTTGGTAGTACTAAAGTAGTAATGGTAATTAGAAAATTAGGGGGAAAATGTTAAAGGAGCAACACTGTCATCTTTTGTCAGAATTACAAGTAGATGAGATGTTGTCAGAGCATGGAACAGAAAAGGTTCTTTAGGTATATCTTATTGAAGTGTTAGGTTGAGACTGATGAAAAAAATCTTTCAATGACTCTTCAGCAGCCTTTATTTAGAAAGCTTTAGATTTACTCCAAAGGTCTCCTGTCAGACGAACTTAATTTTATTTTTGCTTTAGATACGGAAAATTGTTAGAAATATGTGA